GGGGGGGGGGGGGGGGGTTTGAATTGAGTGATCAATTATTAGACCCGGACGTCCCAACACTTGCTTCGCAAGACAAACTCAAGGTATCCCCTAAAGGGCTACCTTTCGTGATATAACCACGAAACAACGAAACCTCTCTCAAACTCACTGCAAGTCCAAAACCAGTGGTGCACATATCCTGAACAAACCAACCAAACATTATAACGATAACCAAACTGATCTGCGAATCCCCTCTCTTCAAGAACAGCCATCCATCCAACTGAGAAAGCGCCTTTGACCCATCCACTGTGACTATTTACCCCACATCCCAGCCGAGGACATTCGCGAGCAAAGGCGCTGGATCAAGGGCACCGCGATCTCACCCCAGCCATCGCCCGCGATCACCGTTTGGAAGAGCAGCAAGTTGGCGTCCATGACCTGCATTTCGAGTCTGAAAGAGGAACAAGAAGTGTGGAACACCCTGCTCGCTCGCCGGGTGCTAGCGCGGTGACCCCGAAGACTTTGCGAGGAAAAGTGTGCTTTGTCTCCAACCTAATAATAGCGATGGCGATGGCCTCCCAACCTATATAATTAGATGCTAGCAATGGCCTCTGAGGAAAAGTGTGCTTTGTAAAAGACATGGTCTGATGGTCTGATGTATTGCTGATGGTTGTATCGCTGATACATGAAAAACCCCGTGAACATAAATGGAACGAACTCTTCAGGGACGTCCAACGGGACACGGATGCGGAAACGGCCCACGCATTCGCGGAATGCGAATTTGCAACGACGAAGGTGGAGCGACGACCTAAGCGCTGACCAGCTGGCTGAAGTCATCGCACGCTGACATCTTTGCCCACACTCCGTGAAGGTACCAGACTCTTGCTGCAGCTGTTGCATCAAGGGATTCACGGCCTCTACCATGAGCCTGGCAAGGCCGAAGGGTGGCCGCAAGTAAGGGCGGAAACCGCTTTTCGGACGTTCCAGTTCCATGAAACAGTTGGATCAAAAGATCTGATCTCACGGTCCTACATGATCAAACAAAAAAGGATCCTGGAACTCATCCAGTGGATGCGACTGTATCGGTCCTACATGATTTTGACTGTATCTCAAGACTTGACTGTCGTTAGTAGAGTCCATCTGAGGACCCATGTTTTGACAGCCAAACGGCAGGTAGCCTTTAAAGTCCTGTGTTTACGAAAGTAAAACGGCACTGTTGAAACAATCGCAACAGTGTACACCATTATGTGTACATCATGTACACCTGATGTTTGGCCATGCTGAGGTCAAGGAACATCGATGAGGTTGACTACTATTTGAGAAAATGGTCATGTCAGTAGCCAAGCAAGAACAAAATCCAATTCCTCAATATCTTCGATTAAGTGTCAGTCTAAACTAATCTCTCTTCTCTAACTTCTTACATCCTAAGCAGACCCACCTGGATTGGTTGCCTTCCTATAGCTCTTAACGAGCAAACTGCAAAAGCGCATCACGTGGAACAGCTGAGGGACATGCTCCAGACCGTCATCACCACGAAACACAACAGGAAGGACCAAACCAAGGTCTTGGCCTCAAGCTGCTGGCACAGTGCTGGCGCGGGATAGGGAGTTGGAACTTTAGTGTGTTGGCTTGGTTGGCTCGAACTAGCTAGCTGTGTACACACAGCATGTCATTGTGTCCTTTGCCAAAAGGTAACTATCTGTTGACATCAGCACTTTGGCCAAACCACCCACCCTCATCCTAAGTCGCATCTCTTTTCTTTGGACAGCAGCTCGAAGAACGGGGCGGGCTTGTCTTGTCAGAGTGACCAATTTTGCGAGCCAGTACTGCAATCAGCACTCACCCAAGACAATCTCCAAAGACTATATGTTGACCGGCTGAAGTAAAGGAATTTCTTTTTCAGGTCCCTAAAGACAATTCTTTTTATAGTCTTTGACTCCCGGGGTAAACTAAAAGCCTCCGCAGTCAGCACCCATCCACCCGAGTCCACCCAAGTCCAGCCATTCTACCACCCTGTTTCACCACCAGCCATGAATGGGGAGAGGGCATGAGAGGGTGACGCATTGAAACACCATCCAAACAACTCTATCAAATCCAACGACAGCTGGAACTCATCAAGTTCAACAAGCTAAGTTCAGTTGTTTCAAAGTAAGTACAGTAGTACGACTTGGAACAAGAACCTTACATTTACAACAACCAGGCAAACACAAAAACCACTGGAGAAAAAATGAAGCAAAAACAAATCATGACCTGTACATCTTTGAAGATCCCCACCCAGGCACACAAGTGGTCATCATGGTCGCTAACTTGTGCAGCTCTCGAAGGCTTCGCAGCTTCCGCAGGAAGCGCGTCAAGCGCAGCACCCGACCCAAGCGCAAGGCCCGGGCCACGCTGATCCCGCCGAGTGAGGCCTCGCTGGCGGGTCGGTCCGGTGGGGTCGTCCGTCCGGTTGTGAACGGATTGATCGAACGCCCACGAGTAGATTCTTGGTTCAACCACCAAACTAGTGATTCTGTGTCAGCAAGATGAACCATATAGCCATATACTCCACAACAAAGAGGTTATGGGATAAAGACATGGTATCCCACACCCCGCCCTTAACTCAAAGATCCCCAGTGGCGTGCGTGCAATCCAGAATCTGACCCGGTCATGAGTTGGACTACATGTGGTCGGTTGGAATTTCCACCGTGATCGAAGGGCAAGTCGAGGGACCACTGTTACCAAATATATATATATATATTTATTTATAAACAATGACACAGTCATGTTCACATACATATTACAGTATATATATTTCACGACGAAAGCTCAAATATATAAATCAAGCAGGAGTTGTCATCGAACATACTGCTGATAAGATGCTCAAGAGACAGATTAGACCAAAAGTTCCAAGAAACATTTCTGAAATGCCTTTCTCTTTCTCTCTGAGCCAGTGCTTTCGGACCCGTGCCAGCCATCCACAGCCGCCAAGAGTCATCCTGCATGATCCGGCCCACGACGAGTTCCAAGATTCCGCAGAGAATCACCAAGAAGTCCAGGACGATAATCCAATCCATGAAGATTTTGCAACCTAAAATCAAAAAGAACAGCGAAGGTCACAACAATTCCCACCAAAATGGATTCAAATCCAACCGGTCTTCTTGAACCTACTCTCGAACCTCTACTATTATAATTCAGAGGCGAGCGTTAAGCTAAGGTTTTATTGAAGCGGTGTGTATACATACAGTATGGAGATGTATGTATAGGATGCAGATCTTTTTGGTAATCCCAGAAACATTTTGTTGAGTGTTTGAAGGGGCGGTTTGTTTTGATGGCTCACAAAGGGACTCAATCCGTTATGAACAATCCGTATTAAAAAGCTTGCGTGTATGTTTTGTGGATTACACTGTCTCAAGTAAACAAGTACTTTGAGTGAGCAAAAGGTTCACTATGTTGGAGGATGGCAATAGGGACTGGCCAAGGTATGGACCCAGAAGATACTTGGCCCCACAAGACAGTCAGGGGGTTTGATTGTGGCCTGTTGGAAGAATCGAACATCACCACTGAAAATGCCAAGGTGTCCTTAGGTGAAGTTGATAACTCTTTCTTTTCCATGTCTGGTGACGCTCCAGATTGCAATCTTGGGGTACTGGTCAAACTTCATGGCACATATCGGCTACAAATTGTTCTATAGAGCCTTTGCTTTTTTCTTGCAAGCACAAAACGCAATGACCCTTTGGTTGCAACCGGCGCCCCAACAATCCCCTATGGCAACACACATCTCAAAATGACAATATAGTTAGCAAACCACATGAATAAAGTTGGAAAGCCTCTGGTATCTTATCTTGTTTGTGCTCACCATCTTCCCAAACAAATATCTCCCAAGTATCATCTACTCCCAACCAGCTGTCTCACTAGCCCTACAAAAACATGTAATTGATATTTCACCGCCACCGCCACTGTCACCACTATACTTGATGATGAGAGAGGCCTTCCAAACAGAAGTGCAGCAGGAACTCTCCGATGTAAATTGCCAGGCAAATATCTGAGACAATCCGAAAGCCCAAGGGTGTCGTCAAATTCTGTGCGCGGCAATCGATGTCGCGACAGGTGCAAATTCCATCGATGAGGATCACCACGACGATGAAGTTCGCCAACCGCCTCCCGATGAAGACGAGAGAAAAGGCTTGCCAACAAAACCACCGAGGCTCCAAACTAACTTACGAAACTGCAACAAGGATATCTTCTGGCTTGGGATTCCCTGGCCTGGAAAGCCCGCGTTCCAATAAGGTGGCCAAAACGATCGGAGAATTTGACAAAGATCGCTACCCAGTTTGGCCGCCCAGTCCTTACATGTATAGACACTGGATACAGCTGTCTTGCCACAATTTAATACAGATTGCTACAGTACCTGGTGCTGATCCCATCCCCAGGCCTGGTACCTGGTAAGCTCCTCCCTTCAAAAACCTCCCAAAACCGACGAAGCTTCCTCCTGGACCACTTCCAGACCGCACACGAAGACCTTCACCAGGCGCACCTGCTCTTGGAGCACTTGCTGGCTGAGCGCTTGAACCGTCCACGGAAGGAGTCGTCATCATTGGACTCCTCGCTGGGGCCCACCACGAAGTCGGAGTTCACGGCCTCGGAGTTCATTGCGAGCTCTTGTGGTTTGACTGGATAGCAAAAGTATTTTGTTCACCAAAATTGTGTGGTCACCTTGATTTTGCCTGTGTGGTTGATAAGAAGGACTGCATGCCAAGATTGGTGCCCTTGAGTTTTTCCTTCCTTCACTGTCAGAAGACATGGCCAGAAACTCGGACTGTCCCTCGTGCCAAGCGTCGATGCGCTCCACCTTCTTCCGGGACATCGCAGACATGGGAGCACCCAAATACTGCCTCAATGCGGCGAGGACCAATGGACCCAATGGACTACGTATAGTGAAGTCATAGTGAAGTCCAGCCCTGATAGAAGGACACTTTTGGACGCCATGCAACTCAGTGAGAAAGCTGGCAAACCAATTGACCTGAGAGTTTTTCATTCTTTTCCGGTTTGCATAACTGCATATAACTGCTTCCCTGTGGGTGGAGAGACAAGTTCCAAGCTCAGCCACCCGATCACGCTCATCCGGGTTCCGCTGCGTGCAGTGGCCAGCGCCGACATGATTGGAGACACGTGGGGCAGTCCGTGAGGACTAGCGGATCGATGAATAACACGTGTCGTCAGGGACGCTTGGACGGAAGTGCTTTGCCGTTTCTGTGAGAGCGAACACGTTTGATACGTTCGAAACATTAGCCTAGATCATGAGCTGGAACTCAGCTTCAATATGCTTCAATCAAGGCCGGGACCATGGGAAATGTACTTTAGTATATGCTGGAAATGGGCCAACCAAAACGTCGAAGGATTGAGGATACAATTTGTCATAAATTACATGCTTTCAGTATGGTCATATCAGCAGAGCAAGCCTGCTGCAAACATCCAGAACCGTCTTTAAAGATTGAACGTCTGAAGCACATTGCCGGCGGATGATCAAACAACACCATTTGGTGTGACTCGTGGCCGGATCTGGTGGAAAGTATTCCAAGCTGACGCATTTGCACAGTGATGTCCAATGCAATTGTCGGACAAACATCGAAGAAGTCAAGTGGTGAATGTGCGGAGTTGTACCAAGTTGGCCTCTGACCACAGTTCTATGGAAGTTGTTCTAGGTCCTTCTTTCCCATCGGTCGCATTCTTACAAGTTTAGACGATTCCTCCAAACCAAACAGAACGTCAAGGACCCTGGAGTGGTTGGTGGAGATACACAGTTGTTACAAAAAGACACCTTTAAAGTCATTATGAAGCTATATGAACATATATAATCGTCACTCAGGAGTAGATAAAGCTTGAGGATCAAACAATTAAGAAAGCAACTAACACAATTGCAACATCTTGTGTGGCAGTTATTCTCTCTGCTTCTGATATATATATATGTATTTATATACCACAGACCTGGTGCTCCGCGCAACGCACCATATCCGCTATCATCTCACCAGGCCGCATATCCCCGAGAGAGAGCGTAATGCCGCAAGGCCACCTGGCATCACAAAGTCGTGCGCTGGTCCTTGGGAGAGCCATCCCCAACTTTGCTTGGATGCTGATAAAATCTGATAAAGCACTGTAAGGATTGCAGCTACATGTTGATTTCACTTGCTCTAAAACATGCCAAGCCTTCGATCTTTCGTATCTGATCTCAACGATGGGGTGCCTTCATAGCAGGGTCCCCTGAGGATGGGTCCCCTGAGGTGCAAGCAGGATGGGTCCCCAGGGGCCGCACCTCTTCCGGAAGGCCCAAGCACTTTCCAAAGATGCTGCTGGCCTCAGAAATCTAGAGTGCCCCCTGCTGGCTCCAAGTTTTGGGTTGCTGTGGTTGGGAGCCCAGGTATACCAGGTAGTAGCAAGGGGATTCTACCAGTGGGTGATGTGAAGAAGTCGCAAACCAAAGTGAAGAGGAAGAAGTCCGCTTATGACCATAGTTTCTGACTACTTCTCAAGTCTGTTGACTAACCGCAACCATTATGTGTATACCGAAAGTCAAGAGTCAAGACCCATCCTACCCTGCTTCAGTTCTCCCCAGTGGCACATTCCTTGAAGGTCTCGCCAGTCTCCGTGACCTCACGAGTTGAACGCACACAGCACGCAGCACACCGCGGGCAGCTGGGCTTGTTGGCTTCGGCGAAATAAATAGCTCAGTTCAGAACATTTCAGAACACAGCCTGCGCAAAAGAAATAGAGAACAAGTCATGGAAAGACCAGGCCCTTGTGATTAGGGTCTGATGTTGGGAGCAAAGAACAAAGAACATGTTCTTTGAAGACACACCAGCTTTCTCACTAATTATATATATGAGGGACGGTCAAAACTCCTTATTCTTCTTCAACTAAAAACTGGACGTCATCGGTTTTGAATTGGACCTGATCGTTTTACAGTGTCTTGAGTTCGCCGCATACTTATGATCATATACACCGCTGGGGTTATCGGTTTTGAGGTAGACCTTCTCGTTTTGCAGGGTTTTGTCCACAAACCTACCCCTCTTTACCTAAAGTGGTCTTCGCATGTGTTATACACATATATATATATATACATATGTGCATGCTCGCCTACTATTTGAAGGCCTATAGAGTCCCCTCCAAGACTCCGCCCCAGTTCCGCCCTCATGACCATCCAGCACCGATGATCGGATCCCTCGGATCCCTCGGATCCCCATCCGCCTCGGTGAAGACGTCGGGCGCCTGGTGATTGCAGCCGTGGGCGATGAAAAAGAGGCCTCCAGCGAGCGGGGCCACGAGGGACACGGTGTGTTGGGGAGGGGGACACGGTGTTTCCTCGGTTTGGCACCGTTTTCCCCACCCACCGGTGGGACCTTGGGAAGGAGAAAATCCTCTGTACCCCACGTAGTGGAAGGGCCATTAGGGGCGTGACATGGCATGGACGTGTGCGGAAGTTTGCGTGGTAAGAGCAAATTCTGTTTTGAACAAGATCCCAAGTCTTTGGTCGCTCCAGATTCCAGATCGGATGCCCTTGAAGGCTTACCGGTTTGGACAGATGTATTGATTGTCTGTTCGAAGTACGGTCAGTGTCCTCAATGGATGTTCCGCGGAGCCAAAAGTACGGGCGCTCTGTCAGAGTCCGCTTTCACTGAAGAGCAAGCCTGGAAATCTTCAGAGCCCCTTGAAACACTTCTTGGCTGCAGGAAATTCTTGGCTGGCTTGGGGAAACAGCACTTCTTGGCTGGTCTTCTGGCGTATCGTATTTCGTGACGGCCAAAATCCACCAAGGGACCTCTTGGGGATGGGATGGTCAGGAGAGATAGCAAATAGCCCATTCCGAGCCTCTTTCCATTCTGAACCAACCCAAGATGAGCGGACCCAAACCATAGAAGTTGCCCAATCCTCATACATGAAGAACCCTTCTAACCGTTCTAACCTTGGCAGCCCTGGCCTTTCACAGGCCCTTCTGGTCGCTGCCAGAGGGTCTCCACATCACCGTCCACCCGTTCATAGCGAGGGTGGAGGGCCTCAAGGCCAGCCACGAAACGGTCACCGAGCTCAGGGGCATGGGCAGCTTGGGAATAAGGAAGAACACCGGATCCTCACGGTGAACCTCCCTTGTTTGGGGGTGAGACGTCCGGGGTGAGTGTATTGGTTCACACCGGTGAGGATGAAAGAAAACGCGAAAACTCTTTCTCTCTCCAGCTACATAGGCATAGCGGCACACCCCCAAAATAACACCATGACTTCTTCCAACATGGGAGGGTCCGCTGAACTCTTTGTCATTTGACCAACTATCGTGGTGATTTGCGGTGGAGTGCGGAACACTTTGACACTGGCTTGTGCTTACTGCGCTGATACGAATGGATTGAAGAACGCTACATAAACTTAATGCGACTTTGATTGAAAAGGTTGCTTTGAGTACTCTCCAGCATGACCTTGGGATAGTATTGTATCTAAATATACAACACATGACAATACATAAGGCCAATGTTACCAGATATCTGAATTGCACTCATTGCTCTTAAGCCGCACAAAACCTCTCCTCAAAGGGAAGCCGATGTATCCATTCCCCCGATTCCACGGACATCCTGCATGCCAAAGGCGCCGCTCCGCCGGTCAGTCGGAGCCTCGCATTTACGACCCCGGATCGGATCGCTGCGAAGGCGAATTTGGGGAAGAACGTGGCCAGCAAGTGCCCTCCCTCCTGCTGATTGGCAACGCATACTGTACATGTCATGGATTGCTTTTCTTTTTTTGGTTTATTTATTTGTTTTTTTAATAGTTACAAAGTTACAAAACACTGTCCACCAGCACTCGGCTGCAAGATTCAACTGGACATGCACTTACACAGCTACATATCAGCTCAAAGACTCCTATGTGCGCTTGTGCTTTGCAGGAATCGGCTCGATGTCATCAGAATCATCAAGAGAAAACTCATACTCAGAAAACTTCAACCATCTCGATGTCCTTCCAAAACATGGTTTCCCATTTCCCACCCGTCAATGTTTATGTATTAATGTATGCTCCCGGACTCAAAACAAAACCAATCTCTGATGTCTTTGACCAATCCGTGCAAACGCTTATTTCCGTACCCGTTCAGTTTGGCCATTTCTGGGATCTCCCCACCTTGACATCAACCCACTTTGGGGGCAAACCCACAGGTTCATTGGCTAGGAGGACCCTTCAACTAGTCGGCAAGCCTGTGGTACGGATACTGGGTTTTAGATCCCATGTTCACCCATTGAAATTGGGATCGAAGGAAAAGTGAGGTGTCTCGCTTCCAAGCAGCGCCCTGGTGACAAGCAAGCATCGCAGGAGGAACTTCAGCCAGGGGCCCGGAGACATGGCCAAATCAGAAAAGCCGTCAGATTTGTAAAACAAACATCTCTATAGTTACCCTGAGGGTTCTCAGGGTTAAACAAAACCTGGCAGGCATCTGTGGCTTGCTAGGAGCCAGTTCGGCATTGTATTTTTGTTGTCCGTTTTGGTGAAGCGCTATGTTTCATGCCACATGAGCCCTGGAACTGGGAAACACCAGAAAAAAGTTTTGGTGTCGCATGCCATGTGTTGGCCGACGTATGCCATGTGTTTGCAAACAGGATTTTAAAGTGCTTCATTTCCACGGAGCAGCAGGAACCGGAGATTGGCCAACTCTCGGTCTGGGAGGGCCTCTCTCGGTCGTATGCGGTCGTATCGTTATTGATCACATTTAATCACTGCTGCTGTGTGACAGCTGTGACTCGTGCGGCCCTCGCTCCCATCCCATGCACAGTCTGGACACGATTCGCCTCGACAAATATCGTCAAACGTCGTTCCGGAACCTCGATCGTAAAGCGTCCCAACGTCGTTTGATGGCGGATCCCAGTTGCTACAACTCGCGTTCAGCGTCGCTTTCAAAGGATATGATGGGCATGGCAAGTCATGATCCGTCCCAAGGCTCATTCCAAGGTGGGCAATTCAGATTGCGTCTCTGACTGAATAGGAATCCTCTTTAGCAAAAGGATGTAGAGTGTTCAGTGAGAGGCCTTGTGAACAGTCTGATTCTCCTGCTACTACTTGGTCATTTCTCATGGGTCATGAATCGATTCCTTCTTTGGGGCCGACTCATACCATGACCGACTGATGGAGGCCCAGCAACAAAATGTCAGAGCACGCGCGCACACACACACACACACCTGAACTCACACATGAATTTTCAAACAAGACTTCTGTCTAAGTGTGCATCGAAGAATCTAAGCGGTCAGTCCAAGTCTTTTTGCCTCTCGCGGAGCCAGCGCAGCGTGTGCATGTTTCCGCAGGAGTTTCCCCCTGCAGGCTTAATCGGCTTAATCAAACATAATGACCCTGCTAGGCTTGGGGTCCACCTTTGAGCATCCTTTGCTTGATTTTGACGTTTTGCTCGTCTTGTGGCGTGTACCAAAACTGGATAGAACAGGAACTGGGGACAGTTCAGGAACCATTCTACAATTCACTTTGAAACTTTAGGCACCCAACCAAACCAACATTTGTTTCTGAGATGAAGCCACCTGGCGCTTCTGTGCAGATCCGCGCAGTGAAGGTGTAGGCCTCCCAGCTTCAAGAGTTCACAGCTCCCCTCAAAGCGCTGTTGGAAGGTTGGACCCCCCTGGCACCCACCCAGGCAGCTCAGACTGTCCGGCATGGAGAAAAGCGACGTCCTCACCTGGCGGGCGCTGCTTCGGTGAGCAATGGATCCAAGGAGTCGATCGGTAGGTAGGGAATGGATCTTGAAGAGCCGACGATGACTTTTGGACGTACTGAGTTGCGAAGATGGATCCTTGAGGCATCCAGTGTCTGCGTGTGAGAAGTAGGGCTGTGTTTCCCACGAAAGCTGCAAAACTGTAGTTTAATCAAGTTGCTTCAATGTACGTGTTCAAAGGAATCATGATTCTACCAGAAACAGCAATAAAAGTTGACTGTTGATGAATAACCCCATACGGAGTTCTAAATCTCTAAGCGGGTGAAGAGTGAAACTTCTAGCCGCACTTTTCCTCCTCAAGCAGCTTGAGTTGACGACAAGTCGACAGAAAGTGATGTGAGGATTCGGGATCAATCACTGGGAGTCTCGTATCAAACATCCGCTTCACCTCAACCTGGGATGTTGGCCTCAGGCCTGGCTCCACTTCTGAGCCTTTCTTCACAAATTTTCCTCAAAGGGGGATATCCTTGGAACCTGCACCGGAGTAGAATACCACTTGATCGATCCACTTGACGAAAGTGACCTTGCGGACTAAACGCATGTCCTTGCTGACAAGCAAAGAACAAAGTCAAGTACCACACATATTCCCAAGCCTGACTATGTTGTGTGGTCATAAACACAGTTTTCATCAAACTGGTTCATGCGACCAAAATGAAGCGGGAGGTACTTTTCATAGTTTTGAGCAGCTAGCACTGACCCACTCCTGATTGTCAATCCCCACGCATCTGGGCTTGACACTTCCAGTGAAGAGCGAATCGCGTCGGGTGATCTAAGATAAAATAAAGATCCTTGGAGACCACCAAACACTCCAGAGCTGTTCAGCTAATGTGGCAGTCCTTCACCAACCAAAAATAAAGATGTCCTGCCCCAGGTGGGAAATAACTGGCTTCTTGGAATCAAGAACTGTTCAGACCGTCCAAAAGGTCGGCGAACAGCTAACCACATCTGCACATGTTTTCGGACAGGTAGGTGCCCAACAGCTCTTGGACGATGGTCAGGTCGGCGATTGTTCTCAAGCCCCGGTCAATGCTTGGTCAGATTCCACTCCGACACGGTCGGTGGACTTGCAGGATTGGTCGAACCGTGCGAACCGCTGAGTCTGAGATATCACACCAAGCCACGCACAAGCTCTGGTACAACCCAGCACCCCGAGCAAGCATCATGTTTATTCTTGAGAGAATGCAATATCACCATTCATACATAGCACGAATGTCACCAAGCATGACACCTCCCTGTTTCAGTGCCACTTTCCAAAAACATAAAATACATCCAAAACGATATCTTTTCGATCGGCACTCGTGGTGAAATTCATAGCTCAAAGGGGCCGGAACAAAGTTTAGAACACAAAATCTTGGTTGATTGATGTTGATTGCTAAAGCTCATCCTTAAATGCGCTTGCTTGTCCTTTCTTTAGGAAAAAGGGGGGCTTTAGGGCTCCAAAGGCTTCTTGTTGACATAACCAGGAACACAGGGCACACAGGAGCGGCCGTGTTTTTGCCCAACACCCAAGGAGCCAGGAGATGTGAATCAGCTCCGACCTTCGCGAACCTCCGAGGTACGTGCTACGAGCGTTGTGTACCGTACGTTCCCGGCTCGGTAGGTGCTACGAACGCACTCTGGAGAGAACCAAATGACAAATTCTGTCATTGATGTGTTCTTATTGTTTGTGGTGTGCATCTGAAGGTACACTAGCGCCAAATCGCTAGCCGCTAGCCAAACAGATCATCTGATCTTGACTGATCTTGAAGGCCCCAAGATCAGAGTCTTGGGGACTTCTGTCGTTGAGCCTAATCGGTCACGCAGACTTCATCAGCTCTTGGGCTTTAGAACCACCGAGACCAGCCCATGATCGGATGGGAAACTCAGCGATGGGAAACACCTCAGTGGCCGGTGGACGATCTCGGAACCCGGTGGACAGGACCCGGTGAACGCTGGCCTGTTGGGTGCTTCGTTGAGGATGAGACTTGTGCTCTCATGATGGTGACAAGCATGTGAATAACAATGGGATATTGCAGTTGGTTGGCATTGTGTGGTGTCTTCGTGATTCCGCAAGACTTCAGCTTCAGTCACAAAAACAAAGCGAATAACAAGAGATGGGGCCCGTACATCCAAACGGACTGTGCAAAGAGACCCCGAGACGGTGAAACCAGAAAGCATTCCAATGCTTTTCCATCCAACGAATTCCTGGTTGACACTACAGGTGTTTTGCACGCCATCAAGGGGTAGCTTTGGTATGTTGACCCATCAGGTCCTTGCGTTGCCGATCAGCACGCCATCGGTCATGGTGGATGATCGATCCGAGAACGCCGAGAACGTCTGAGCTTGGGTGATCGGTCCGTGCTGTACGAGCTTCGCTGGTCCAGTGCTACACCATTCGACCAAGCTGATATACCTCACGCCACTGTCTGGAACCGTCTGATCTCTTTCGACTCGATATGGATCTTGCACAAATCATTACCAAGTCGGGTTTGCAGTCATTGCAGTCGATTCTACGGTGTGGAAAGGAATACCGGAATAACCTGTTTTTTACATATAGATTTGATTCATTGATTGATACAGGCTCTTGCTTGGAATCAATTCGATAGGCAGGTTTGCCACATAGTCCCACTTGGGCATTGAGCATTCTGAAAAGTATTGCCTCATTCATCCCCGCAACCCTGAATCCGTAGCAACAGTTTGAAGATACTATGCTGGAAACTTTTGGACATACAGAGCCCCAAAATCAGAGCCCCAAAACCCACATGCTGCAGTCTCCAAACATAGCATATCCGCTCAGCGTGACCGCCGAGCGACCGTCTTTGACCGTATTCGACCGTGATCGCCGAGCGACGCGCCCTCGATGTACTCCCCCTTGCCAGTGTTGTCCTGAAAAAAGCGTGGTCAGTCGAAGGCCAATCGGGGTAAGTACGAACTAAGTGATGCGGGAACAACACCGGATGTGGATCTGATTGGGTTTATCATGGTTTATTCTAAGCAGGCCAAGTAGGCCAAGTTTCTCCTACGTACCGACGATAATTGTCTTATTTTTCGAACAACGCTTTGGCACCGATTGCCATCATGAAGACTCTTCACTGACTGGGAAACAATCATGGACACTGAACAGGAAGGTGCTCCACAAAACCAATTAATAACAATTTTAATGATTTGGGATGATTTGGGAATGTTTTGGGGTTTTGCTGTGACATGCTGTGACTACGTGCAATCGACTATGTTCTCATAGCAACAATCTCTCTCTGACTCTGATGGCAGCCACTACGCAACAAATCTATCTCACCCGCTGACTCCCTCCGTCTAAACTGGAGGCCTTGACCATCGTCTTGGTCACCCGCCCTCTGACCATTGGACATACAAATCGATGCACGGCCCGCGCTGCGCTGCAGTGCCCACCTTCACCGTCTGCAGTACTTCGAAGCTCGCGAGCGCAAAAATGATGTGATCCTCGCCGCAAACGCTCGGTCTGGACGCCTCGATCGTTGGCATCGCCTCGATCGGTGGATATTCTATATGCGGAAAAGTTCAGTTGTGAAGTCAATATTGTGAGTCTCATCAGGGTCTATCTACTCAGCGCCAGCCATGGACCCAGATTCGTCCTCAAATGAGACGTCTCCAGGCAAAACTGACGATGCTTGGAAGGTCTCAAGCAGTCCTTAGGGTTCACATCCCCCTTCTCCAGCTTCATACTGCTACGGCAGGCCTGGACGAGGCGCTCTCCGTCAGGCCGGCCGCGGGTCGGTTCGGAGTCGTCGAAGGGACGTGGTTTTCAGTAGCTCCAAGGCGATGTGTAGTCTTGTGAGGTGAGGCGCGAAGTAGCTGTTCAAACAGCAACATGTTCAGACCAAACAGAAAATCGAAAGAACAGACTGAAAGCCGAACAACCACCTGTGCAAAGATTGGGAAACGGAACTAAGGGTGGTTGGGACTCCATCCCCTCCCTCCTTCCCTCCCTCCCGCACCAGCTGTGGGTGAGATAAGGACATTCCACCTAACGTCTCGTTTTCGAAACGCCAGTCAACCGACCGACCGGCACCTTGTTCAACTGCGGCTGCAAGAAGGTCCGAGCATTGCACGTGGTCAAGCACTTGGCCATGTCTCCCTGGCGAAAGCACGGCTGACAAGTGAACGAGCGAACATGAATAATAGACCAACTCCCACACGAGCAGAAGCAAGCTGAAGATCTTTTGATGGTAGCAAAAGAGGTGGGGTGCCCTTCTGGCAATTTTCAGCTTCATCATGTGTTTGCACCCAGGCGTAACCTTCCTTGAAGGGAGTCGCTTTTCGAAAGCCCCAGCCTCGAAGCAACTTCGATAGCCCAAACCTGTCAAAATGGGACCCAGCGCAGGAGACTGAGATGTCAAAAAGAATGAACCAATGAAATATATATATATTATATATATATATGGTCTATCCTAATACCTGTAACAGTGGATGATGATGGTTTGTAAAGGCCTTGTTCAAAAATCGTAATAATTGTTTACTGACTGTTACAGGTAATAGGGCAGACCCCAATTATATATATATATATAGATTTCATTGAACATGTGCTACCCGTCGTGTAAACACTTAAATGCTGCAAGGCCATTTATACTCGGTGGTTCATCCAGCTAGAATCCACCTGCTTGATTGATCAATACACTGGAGTTTGTGCTGCTGGCACAGTTCAAGTATTCTTTTCCTGACAGGACTCAGAGTGCAAATGATAAAAGGGACAAGCCGGATGTTTGTTCGAAATCAAAGATTTTCATGGTATTTTTCCGCTCTTTGAAATGCAAAACACCTTGTGATATGGGTGTGGGTCAAAACCCTGCAAAACCCTGCTTGACCACTGAAAACAAACAGATTTCCCGATGTTTGGAATGTCAACCGAAACCATGGTTTGAATGATGTTTGGTTCCCCACGGTCAGGACCTGGAGGGCTCTCAGAGCCAGGACCCACCAACGTAACATTTGTACTCACAGGCGGTGACCCCCATGATCCCCATCCCCAAGAGCTGTGAAACAATCAGCCTTTGCACTCATCCAAGAACTCCTGGCGTTGGAATCTTTGAATCATCTCAGCAAATTTTCTCACCAGCGAATTGGTTCTTCATGGATCTTCTTTGATTCAATAGGATGGAAAGAACAGGCTGCTAGTCTCAGAAAGACACATTGGAAAACACGGTGAATCATTGCCACGTTTATCCATGCGGCCCGATCCTTGACACCATAGAAGGTGGAGCTCCCGTGAAGGTAGGTATTTGCCTTGATGGCAGTGCTAACCGAGATCTCATCTTCTCAATTGTATAAGGAACTGCCTCAAAAAAAATCCAATGATGGCTACCAGCGGCCGAACCAAAATATCTAGGTGTTGCGGTGTTGGTAGAAGGACACAAAACGCTTATTTAATGCCAAATCTAAAGCCTGCAGAAATACATGGATCAGGGTCTTCCATAATACAAAAGGGGTCATGCCCCTGCTTGCACTAGTAGTAGGGTTTTAAGTCTTCCAATGTCTTCCAGTAAGGATTGAATACTTCATCGTGGCCTTTTCAATATTGCAAACAATGCCATAATTTCACGTAGCTCCGAAGTACAACAAACAGTACATGACAACTAGGCCATAGGCCAAACTTAAAACTTACAGCTAATCATTTTACTGCACAAACATTGAGTTGTCTCTATGGCATGATGACTTTTAAAGTACAAACTGTGAAGTCAAACAACCTGCAACGCGTGTGTATGACATGCAGAAGGGTCCACCTCGGGTAGCCAGCGAGGCGTCAGTCGAAAGGATACACATTGACGCCAAGTTCAGGCCAATCCAAGGTGCATCCATTCCAACCAGCATCTCTCCCTTGGCCACTTGCTTCAACGCCCTGACAGAGTCCCCGACACCCATGGTGGAGTCCCCGACACCCAGGTTGACCAGGTGAGACATGTCTTAAACGAAGAACACCGTCGATGCAATAGAATTACGGTCGTTGTGAAACGAATGATTTGCGTGGAAGTTGCGTGGAAGGGGTCATCTTTCACAAAGAACAAGCCCCTGTTTATCATATGCTTACCTAGAGCTTCCCAATGCGGCAAGTCCCTTGTTTGAGGCGGTTCCTCAGAATACATCTTTGCCCAAAGCATGCCCAATCTGTTGCAAACAACTTTCACGGAACAAAAACCATCAGCAAAAACAACACAACATCGGAAGGCTTTAAAACGCCTGAGGTGATCAACAAGAATATAACAAAAGTTGCTCCCTTCAACTTCGACCAAATAAGGCCTTGCAGATTTGAGAGCAACTGTTGCCAACCCCCAGAGCTCCTGAGAGCTCCTGACGACATATGAGTCTATGAGTCTGACCTAGCCTCTGACCGACAGGTCTGTGAAGGCCCGTATGAGTCAAAATTGGTCCTGCAAATCTTCAGGACTTGGTGTGTGTATCATCGTTTTCTATGTCACCACGTCCATCATGTTATCATGTTTGATGAATGTTTTATAGTTTTTGTTGAGCAACCGCCCAACATGCGATCCCACGACCACTGACTCTTTTTAAGTTCAAGTAAATTTGGACCGTATCTCATTTCATCAAACTGCAGCATGAGGTATTTTAAGGTACACCTTGTACACCTGCACAAGTTTACCTCAAAAAACATGGCAGCGGCTCCACTCAGGAGCGGCTCCTGCCGCTTGCCACAGTCCCATCCGACTGTGGAGAGGAGTCGGACCGCTCGAGCTCGTCACTCGTCTCGTCGGTCGACTCAGAGCTGACTTGGCAAAAGACCCTGGACAAGATCATTTGGGCGAAGAAGGGGCCGAAAGGTAGCTTCAATGTGCCACGGATACCTCGAACTGACCCAAAAACAACTGTGAATGCAAGAAACATCAAAGTCCCGTTAACCTTTAAACGCACATCCATTATAGGGAACAACATGAAACAACAAAAACGTCCTGACCAATCCATGATACCCAACAAAGCAAAGAGCAATGCCACCACGAAGGATAGGTGATAAGAAGTTCGTGAAGCCGCAATCATCGGCTGTGAGCTCATATTGGGCAAGGTCGTGTACAAGAACCAACATGGAGCGACAGTTTTTGTCATTGCATTGAGCATAAAACATCTTTCATCAACAGAGCCTCTGAAAAGAGTAATCCAGAAGCAAAGCCTTGCAATAATGGAAACTGCTTGAAGAAATGCATTGTACCAGTCTAAGTGAATCACGCGATCGTCAGGTGCAGCAAACAAAACAAAATGCATGGTCAAATGCCAAGAAGCCAGGATCAGGAAAGGCCCCAGCACAATTGCAGGAATGGCCCACTGAATCACTCCGGAATGCCTAAGCACGACCCCGCGCATGTAGGCAGTTCGAAGTGCATCTGATGTCATACCGGCTTTCAAGAGTACTTGAATTACCTTGTCGACTTCATCGACTTCATTGCCAATTTCACTCCGAATGCTCAACTCATCCTGGATCTGGGAACAGGACGCATGACGAATTGACCCTTGATACTGGTTTTCCAGCAGCTTCGCTTCACGCACTGCTATCCGCCATTGGACCCGATCCAATTCGGCAAGTATGAAGTAGAAAGCCAACATACCGTGCACAAAATATTCTGAAACGTGAGTCTCGGATGGAGGAAGCAGTACCAACCATGCAAGATCTGAGAATCCAACCAGGCTGGCAAGACCAGCTGCCAGTCCCAAATGATTCGCAGTCAAACAGCATTTGTTGTGGCCACTGTTCTGGCTCACCAAACTGGCCAGTAGCGACAGCGCTTTCGTTACTTGTGTCAACGTCCCCACTCCAAAGAGTACACCGACCAGGATCCCGACTAGAAGCGCTGGACACATGAGAAGCCAAGCCCACATCACTTGGGGCCAAATCGGTGGCCTGGCAGTTTGAATTATCTTGTTGCTTTGAAAGGCCAAGTAAGCTTCATATCCACACCACAGCCTGGTGTAAACACTTGTATTCTGGTTCGGAACAACCAACAAAAACTTGGAGCTCCTCAGGGCAAGTGCGAAAGGCGATAACCTTGGGCACTGAATCAAGGCAGCAATATTCAGATTCTGAGGATTTGCAAGCATGCAGCACCAGGCATGACGAGCACGCCAAGGCCAGGATGCCAGCACCTTCTGCGTAAACTCAAAAATACTTTCCTGCCAAGCGTGAGTAATAAATACATCGCAGTCAAGTCCCTGTGGATTCATCATCAATGCCCAGCTCATTTTGCCAGCGGCGGCCGTGACAGGCTTGATGAAATATTCATTGACTGCATAAATGCTGGGCCCAAGCGAAAGGTCGAAGTGTTCCTGAAAGTTCAAAGCGCTTCGGACGGCTCTGTGGATCTCCGACTGAAAGAACTTCAAGTCTCTCCAGGTGATGCACCATCTGGCGGGGTTCACCCTTTCATGCAGTTCGATGGCTTCCTGCGTGGCACTTCGCCTCCTGCCCTCCATGGTTTCACCAGTTGGAGGGATGAAAAGAGCAAAGCTGCATGGTTAAATTCGAGGCAACAAGTTCATTACTACTATAGTAACAAATATAGCTATGATTTCCATCATGCAACTCGAACATGTTCTCCAGCATCCATCAAATAATGTATCCCTTGATTTGGCTGGCTAATGATCTTAAAGTCTCCAATATGGCCATTTCGATATACACCCCTGCTGCACTCTTCTCTCCAGAATCCAGAATCGGATGCTCTGAACTTGACAGCCTTGCTTTGGAATCAGCTGTCTGAAAACGGCAGCACACAACATGGCAAAATCAACAAGTACAAACCTGGAAAACGGGCACCCGGGCAGCAGTTTTCATGCATACCACAAGTGGTTTCATTCATGCCGGTTTCCAAGTAAGCAATTGTCGGTTTCATTTAGCACCTGTGACATCCAGCCACTTGATCGAATGTGTGGTGGCACTTGCAAATCATGCAAATACATGCACTTACAAATCCAAGGTACAAGTAGTACGTGATCTACTACATTGCGTGGTGGAAGTTGTGCGAGTGCATCAGTCCGACCCTACTCCATGAAGCTTATCGGAATGTGAAAGGTTCACTGGCTTTCCTGTGACCCCAAAGGCTACAAACGGCTGTCGCTTGGCTACCAGTTTGGATTGTTGCCGGCTTTGCTTGATCGCTTCTGACTGTATGTCGAAGCTGGATATTGTACATCCATACCACACATTGAAGAAGGGTCCAAGAGGCCATTCGCCAAGAAACTTCCTCCCTCTTTCCTTAAACTGCCTTGCTCAGGCTGTTGCCTCCCTAGGTAGGACAGGTAGCTTTGAGTCGCAAAAAACATGTCGCATGAGTCGGCCGGAGGTCCCGCCACGGCCGCCTGAGCAACGGCGCCGTGGCCTGGGTGGGGTGGAGCTGCGAAGTCCCCCGGCAACATCGCCCTGGTTGATATAGTCAAACTAAAAGCCTTCTGGTAACAAGGACGCTATTGGGTTGGAGGCCATCGAAAGTAGGTTGGAGGCCATCGCTACTAACAAGGACGCTAGTAGCTTCTTGCTCCTAGTAGCGATGCTCCCGAGAGTATCCCATGGTAGCTCATGGTTTGGGGAGCTTAGATCCACCCGACGTGGCAATTTGAATGAAAACAATCGAGTTGCATCTGAATTACTTCTGAACATGGATGCATTTTGGCTCCAGTCGCATTGGGAAAAATATGGAAAAATAAAAGATATGATAATTGGACTGGACTGGTTGGCACCAGCGTAGAAAATCTGTGTACCAGTGTAGTAGTAAAGCGAATCCCACCGAACCTCATATGAGCTGTGTTGTAAACGTCTTATATCCCGGCACCAAACAAGGCAACGCTTACGCCGCATCTTACGTTTTGCTTACGCGCGCACAGTTTGGCTTACGCGGAATAAACCGGCTTACGCAGACCTTACGCTGGACATTTTTAGTACCCGGCCACAGCCCCAGCTTACGCGCAGCAACTTTTACCTGCAGGAACCGCAGCGTTTCTAGGCAGCATCAAGCAGTAGAAGATGATGACGTGGACGAAGAAGATGAAGCCGATGAAGACGCAGCAACAGAAGAAGCCCGCAGATGACGAAGTTGACGACGCTTCTTGGCAGCACCTCTGCTGAGCGCGTGGGCGTGACAGACAGACTGGGCACCACTGATAGCGGACAGGCCAGGAAGGACAGATTGACATCTAGAGAAAGCCTTGTTCAGCAAGAGGTGTGCTTCATCCAGAGAAGGGCAATGTTGTTCCAAAATGTCCGAGACGGTCTTTGCGACAAGTCCCTGGCGCTCTGCACCAAGTTGCGAAAATGATTTGTGTTTGGGAGACATGGGCAACTACTGGCAAAAGCAGCTTTGGCTTACGCGGACCTTACGCGGATTTTGGCTTCCAACCCGGAAACAAAGTTCGGAGGTGAAGGTCTTGAAAAAGGTATGACACTATGGGCACATACATTACAGTGTTGCTGTTTCCATCCGATAGTACAGTGCAGTTGTTAAAACTCCTTTTCTTGGTGGACAATCCTTTTCATTGCGGGCTTTATCATGATTTCGTTTTCCATGCAATTCAATCTTGCAGAATCATCAGAATCACATTCAACCTGCAGCATGGAGCTTGCCGCCACTTGAGGAAACAAATATCCAGCAACCTGACAGTGATCCCATGGATGTATGTTAAGCTGTAAGCTTGGAATATAAAAGGTTCTTTGTCCAAAGCTGCCATTTCACAAATCACCAATAATCTCTTACGCCAACAACATTAGCTAAAATTGCTTACGCGGGCTTACGCCCACTAGTGTTTTGCTTACGCCACGGGTCCTTACAAGGATCTCCTTACTTGACATGACAACTGAGGTTTAAAACGTGGCTCATATATATATATATATCATGTCAGCTTTGGACAACACGGAAGCGAGCCCTTCAATCATAGATTGCAGCTCGTCAAACTTTCTAAGGAACCTCTGTAATGATCCATGATATACTTCCCGAGTAAATGATCAACACTCCTGCTTCATGCAGATGTGATCGCATACACACACAACCGCACCTGGCCATTGGTGTCTCCATGGAAGGAGGCAATGAGAAAACTCTGCCCCGAGGGCGCATGGCCTTAGGCATGAATGAGAAGAGACAGTTCGGGGATGTTGGGCTGAGTGTCTTGGTTAGTCCAGTCTTCAGCGGCATTCACTGCGAAGATGCTTTTCGAGCTCGCGACCGTTCCTTTTACTTTTGCCTTGAAAGCCAAATCAACTTGTTGATCATGTATAAGGCATTATTAAACCAGTGTTAATTTAATGTGAGGACACAATGAGCAATGGTGACCCTTCAAAGTTGCAGTTTTCCCCTCAAAGGATTCGCAGCATGTGAGGGTTTTCCTCGGAAGCCATTTCGACTTCCCCAGGCCATGCTAAGGTTTCAAAAGAACCTGACCTTTCCTCCTCAGATCAGAACTCTGAAAACTTGAACGGATTTTCATCCAAGAAAGGCAACAAGTTACTGGATTTCTGTGCACCCGACCCACCTCAGGACCTCCGGAAGGCCTCAATAAAGGCCTCAACCCACCAGTTTGGGTGATGTTCCAAACTTTGCAAGAAGCAAACCGTCATTTTGAAGTCAGCCAGCCGGAAACAACATATGCCTACTACAAAGTCAAACTATTTCACCACTGACATGTATATTCTGGGCAACCACAGTGCACCCCTCTGCTGCCAACAACTGCACGCGCGGCTTCCTCACTGCGCCCGAGCCACACGCGCGGAGCGCGATGAGGTCACCCGCCTCTATCGCAACACGTTTCATCCGAGGACTGCGTTGACCCGAAGAATTTGACCAGTTTCTCTACGACTCTGCTACAACGCAACACCCTCCAAAGGAGATCATGTTTTTGGTCCTAAACTTCAACCAGTCCTTCTTAGTCTGTCTTGTCAAACTGGCTTAATTATATTGATGATGTGTCTTTACTTTGGCTCCAAGAATTGTATTTGAGATGCTGATCATGAACTGCCAAATGTTGATGACCCGAACCAGCACAAATATAGACTATAAAACCCTTATCACATAACTTGGTTGGGGGAGGTTTGATTCGCTGAATTCATAAGTGATTTTGGATCCAATGACTTGAATTCCATCTTGGAACTTCATTAGAAGACATGATTACATTCAAACTATTTTTTAGGCATACATGCCGGATTTGCTCCAACTTGCATCCAGCCCAACCTGCAGGATGCAACCGCGCCTCAAGGGCAGTGCCCTGCAGGGCGCCAATCACCTCATCTGTGAGTTCCTGAAACGTCTTCTTGAAAGGTTGAGAAGGTCAACAAAAATCACAAGCAGATTAAACAAAGGCTGGGATGAAGATGGTTGAATTTCCTTCAAAAAGATTGATTCCAAGGATTAGAGGATTAGAGCATGGCAATTGCCGTCAGATCGGCACAAACAAGTAGTGGCGGTTGTTGGTGACCCCGCTCCATAGCTGGTTTAGCTGGTGTTTCCAGGAACTTTCCCACTACCGAGGGTTGATAGAACATGGCCTGACACAACCTCGGGAACATGGCGGCGGCTTGATAGATCATTATCGATCATTATATTACTTCATAGTACTTCATAGGCCCTATACATGACCTGTACATTGCACACCTCACATTCACCCTGTCCTCTTCAGAGCCATCGGGAAATGCATCCTTTCCTTGGACAGGTTCGCAGGCAATGATAGGTAACCACATCAGCAGCCCAACGAACTCTCCTACAGCCTTGAGATGGTCCCACTTGATCCTTTCTGCAAACCAGGGCGGCCTGGAGTCACTGAGGATAGGGCGCAATAGGATAGCAGAATTTTGATCCCGCTGCTCATCTATCTGGCAAAGTTCAAGGACCCCTCTGACAAATGCAGACATCTTTGATAATTATGGTCTATGATAAACATTGAATCAGACCTATCTCAATGTGTGAACAAGTGGAAAGGAGGAATCTCTGCCGTACCTCTGTTCTCGTTGCCCTTCGAAACCCACAAACTTCGGTAACTTTTGACTTTCACTCATTTCACTCTTCACTTGAAACGGAGCAACTCGCAGAATGCGGGTGCCTTGCTGGGCGCCACCACATGGTGGGTGAGTGCCATGTGGCTGTGCCGGAGCCGGTACAGGAAGGCAGCCTGGGGTCGGCCCAGAGGAGTGAGAAGAGTTGACAGCAGAATCATCCAATCCTTGCTATCCTTGCTACTAGCTTCTTGAGCCCCTAGTAGTAAGGCCAGGAGCCCGTTCGTAGCATCTGATCGCTCCTAGTAGCGATGCCATTTGCTACTAGCTTCTTGTTACTAGTAGGAATGGTCTCCAACCTTTAATAGCGATGGCCTCCACGTAGTAACTAAGTAGCGTCCTTGCTACTAGATATACCTGAGAACGGAAGGAAACGTCGACCCACCTTGAGGGCAGGAAAGACGTGGGCAATGTGGAGATGGAGATACGGGAGTGAGGGGACATAGGCGCAGGGTATCAGGAAAACTGTAGGTAAGCAAAGGTTGTCAAAGGCACATTCTGTGGACACCTCAACGTCAATGGCCCAATGTCATGGATCGTGTAAAAATAAAGACTATTAATTAAGCCTGATGAGAAGAAGGGGCTGAATTGGCTTAATTGGGGCCGTATTAATAGTCTGATTTTAAATCGTCGCATCAGGGCTGATTGAAATATGTACATCTCATTTGCACCGATCCCTGTCCCCAAAACAAGACGTCCCCGCATCTGCAAGGCTTTGTCGATGGGGAAGCTTCAAGCCGATCGCTGCCCCGTCCGTCAACCTTTCCCACATGATTGCCAATGGCCAAGGGTTCGCATTGAGCCGGGCTTGTTTGTGTCAACTGAGTTGATGAAAGGAGGTCAATCTCGAGAAGTTACCCGCCCCACGTTCATATTCCCCCCTCCCACATTCACCCCCGCTCGTAACAATACAATTCCGAAGGCATTCACCATCAGGCTTAGGGCTTAGGTTCAACAGTTCGAGGGAGTCTTTACTTACAATTACAACTGAGCTAGTGAGTTGCAGGATCCACAGGCAAGATTATGAACCTACAATCCACATGTCGCCTTCCAAACTTGTCCAACTGTTTGCAAGAAGAGCTCTGACCAAAAGTGTACACTAAGATAATTTCGAGCCTCCCCTCCACGAAGCCGACGAGGGGCCGAAGCTTCTTGGAGGCAAATCACAGAGGCTGCACCTGAGGTTGGCTGAGGGGACGAATTCAGCTGGGTAAAATCATGGATACAAACATCTGTATATGTACATCTGCAAGTCTGCAGGTATATACTGGTGTGTTTTCCATGTCAAGCAGTTGTCTGATGTCTTCCTGACGCAGTGAGGTGGAAATCCTCTGCTTGGTGGTGCAGGGAGGTCTCGGTGTCAGGGCTTCATCGGCTTCAAGCACCAATGATACTAGCTAGCTGCTAGCCTTATAGATGAAACGACCCAAAGTGATTATCAATTAACCAAACCAGCCAGCGATGTGAGTTGCCCCATCCAAACGACATGATCACAACCATTTGCAGAAAGGCTCTCAACCATGTGTGGATCTCCGCAGTCTTGGGCTTGTGGAGCCTTTGTTAGAAGGACCCTTAGGACAACCCTTTCAAACACTTCTTATCATCTGATAGCCGCTTTCAATCTTAGAAGCCCTCTTGCAAACTGTTGTGCTTGCAAGTCTTTCCGACTACTTCTCCAAGACAGGACCCACTACTTCGTATGATTGCCTCCGAGCAGCTATAACTTTCGAGTATCCTGCAGGTCAGTTGGTTCTTCTTTCTAAAGGTCGCCTGCGCACGACACCGACACCCACACGGTCCACCGAAGCACACGGACGGTCGCCAGCACCATGGTCGTCACTCACTTGGGTCTGTCCCACTACAAGTAACAGTGGATTATGATGGTTCAGTTGCAGGCCTTAAGTCCACAATAGTGATAATTGTTTACCGGCTGTTGCAGGTAATTGGGACAAACCCTATATACATATATATATATATAGGCATATACACATATATATTTTAATGGGACCATTCTGGGATTGTCCATGGATCCTGCAGGAAGTGTGTCTTGATAGAAACCTTTTGCCTTGATAGGCTTGTTTACAAAGAGTCAAATCACATTCCACCTCAGAGCAATCTACGTGGGATTCACTTTCTACTGCCCAAGGGGCACATTGGGATCTACTTGGGGACAGAGGCCTGGTCAGTTACCATCAATGCTGCTACCATCAACACACCGCTGATGGCCAGGTTCCAAGGTGGGAGACCCACACTGCTGATTCGGAGTGCCGGTCTCAGTCATAGCACTGTACCGCAAGTGGCCTGCTGTGTAGTGGTGTGCACAACTCGTTTGTGTAGTTGCAATTTCGCTTACGACTGTATTCCTCCCCTCTACTACTTGTTTCCAGTCTACAGTCAGCAAAATCAAATCAGCAACATGAGACCATGCATATAGTTATATATATATATTAGACACATAATGACAAATACGACTATACTCAATAAAGGATAAAGTAAACTTAATGATTCCCAGCCCCAGATTCACACATCGCTGAAAAATACCGCATGCCTCACAAATGGAGGACTTGATGTCTTGCCAGTGACCATCAGGAGAAAGCACCTGCGAGCAACTCTTTGTGCTGGCTTGGTTAGTGAGGACCCAGGGGCCTACTGAGGATCACGTTTCAAACAAAACACATCCAAAGCATCAAGAAACAGCTCCGGTTTGAAACCATTCCGGTTTGAGCTGAATCCGTTCACTTCATAAAGGTTCCAGCGGCCTTTAAAAGTCCAAGTGCTCCAAAACGACCAGCTCCAGCCATCCCAGCTCCGAACAGCGAACACTCGAAGAATGTCTCCGGGTTCCACCTGGAGCATGTGCACCAGTACGGCATCGAAGATCGCCAAGCAAAGACATTGCAAAGGGATGGACACGGCCTGGCGACCGTGGCGGCCCCTGTGCAACCGTACTGGTGCAGATCTGCTTGTAGCAAGGACACTATTAGATGGAGGTCATCGCAAGTAGGTTGGAAGCCATCGCTACTGGGATGGAGGCCATCGCTATTAGGTTGGAGGCCATTATATAAATACTAGTAGCAAGGACGCTACTAGGTGCTTCCTGTGCGCCAAGATCTGGTTTCTACTCGAAGAGATGGATACCCTGCGAACGAGCCAACATGATCCACCTCTTCCTCGTCTGTGATGGCCGGGTATTTGGCCTTCGCAACGACAAGGGCAACTTGGCCAAGACTAGACAAAAGAGATTCCTAAATATATACATATATATATATATATATATCGGCCCAACAATGTTGAATCAACGTATATAGTAGTGTATATAGTATATACAGTACATGTATATACATGTTCAACATATAAAGCATATAACACGTGTTTGGCTTAGTGCTTGTAGATAATCGTGTGAATGTGGAATTGTGGAATCTATATGGACATCTAGCCAACATAAGCCACATTGTCACAAGTACCAATCTCAGTGAAAAGAATCTCCTCAGCAGGCAGTGGGAAGTTCGTTGCTACTAGGCTCTTGCACAGCACCCCTCCAGCCTTCTTGATGGTGGTTAACATCTGGCAAGGCCGGATCCTGAATGGATGAAAGGCCCTCCTTAAAGGGTGGGGCTCTAGAAAGCTTTACGGGGGACAAAACGCGGCCACTTGGTACTGCAAGAGTCAAAACTATATAGTTTAAACTCATGTCGACTTATGTGGTCATTTGCAAGTTGAATGCAGAAATGGACGAGAGTGAGCCTCACAACAAATTTTGGAGAGGCATTTTAAGCATACTTTGGACCAAACGTGGGAACCATACTTGGGTGGTGAACACACAGGAGAACATGCCACTTGGTGAGGTCCACGTTCACTTCAAACCTGTTCTACGGGTCCTTAGTCCTTAAAAGGACAGTTTTGGCGTCTAGTTTTGATCACCTGTTTCTGATTCTTTACAACTAGGTTTTCAACTCATCGACAAAGCCAGTGAGATCATCCGCTGAGCAAACACTCAGCTTCTCCTCTTTGTGTCTCCGTTCTTGCCAGTCTTCAACTCAAGCTCCTCCTGTGAAAACATGTCTCACCATTTGAGGTCCCTTGAATGGATATGGGAAAGGAAAACAATAGACTAGGTGAACACCATTGAACACCAGCATCTTGAGACAAACCCAGCGCAAACAAGCAACATCTTTGAGCACTTGATGTAAAGCTGGTGACCAAGCGCAAATCCCATATCATTCTAAATTGGTGTGTGTGTGTCTAAACAAAGCTAAACCGGTACATAATAAGGTAGGCAAATATACATCCGAAAGATAAAACGACCCTTCTAATCTTCACCAAAACTCCCGGGCCAAAGGTGGTGGTTTGGGAATTGGCGCCAAACAAACGCGCTTGTTGAGAATCCTCGGACCCAAATTGGCTCAGTTGAACCCCCGTTGACCAAGCTTTTTTTTGGGGATCAATCGAACCTATTATGGGCTCCATGTATACGTGTTGATTCTTCCATTGAGGTTTTTGCTGCGTGGTCTCCGTTGATTCCACACGGCAAGTATTCCTCAATCCATCGGGTCCGATGCGTCGTCTTCCGAAAGAACGCGTTCCCACCGAGGTGTCGAATCCGACGTGGTGAGGTGTGGATGGTGCTTCAGAACGACCCATGTGTCTCACGAGGAAACTCGTGCTGTGGAAGAGGTGGAAAAAATTGGTCTGTTTCTACAACTTTGGATCCATTGATGTCTCTTGAATGTATTGCCGCCAGTTTTGGATTGCTTGCCCGAGCCCAAAGGCTAAAAAAAGTGGACATGCTCATGCTGGCAGACTATATCTTTTATAGAATTGCGGGGTTGTGGGGGCATCCTCACAGCGTATTCCTCACAGCGCCCCATTCTTGAAACACACCAGAATCACCAGAATCATTGTTTCTGTGAGCTCATCTTTCTCGTGACTTAAGGCATACTGCTGTCGTTTCAAGATGCTGTTGGATAAGGTCACTGGAGTTATTGCACCATGCAAGAGAAACTTCCGGTGACTCGTCCAAGTTTTTTGGGGTCTTGGAGCTTGATGCATTTGGATGAGAAGGGCTGTGCTGGGCTGATGGAAAAGCATCATCTGGTTTCAATGCTGCAGATCCGTATGGGGTCGGCGTGGTTCGTGGTCGAACTCTGCCAACCATGCGCAGCCATGCGCTCCAGCAGCTCCACTGACTCCACTGCTCCTTAAACATAAAGTCTCGCCACTGGGGCCACCATTCAGCCACCGAGGCTAACCTGGAAGGAGTTCGATCCAAGACATGCGACTGCTGAAAACAAATCCGAACACTCCGACCACGGGACTGTTCTTTGCAAATCCAGCAAAAGGTCTTCTTCCGCCAGCCACAAAGTTCCCATCTTGTTGAATCTTGCGGCAATTGTCCAAGAGAAAAAAAACAATTAGTTTGGCTGATCCGAGTGTCCCTGATTCCATATGACCAAGAGGCTTGTTGGAGCTATGGTTGATCACCGTCGGTCTGAAGGCCATTGTGCCTCACCGTCCGTCCGACCCTGTCAAAGAGGTCCCGGGTGCGGATCCCAAATTGAAGTCGAAAAGGGGAAGATGATGAAGATGAGAGTGGAGGCCATCGCTACTAGGTTGGTCCTCTCCTAAGTGGTTCCTCTGAGAGGGTGATGTGTTCGACAGTTTGAGGGTCCGGTATAAGAGGGTCTGGTCAAATCCTGAGAAGGTGGCAGTGGATCTCTAGGGAGCTCTGGTTGATACAAAGGAGCATGCACTGTATGTCTGATATAGCTTCAAACCTGCTATACTGCAGGAACACATCGAACTCAAATCCCAACATACCACGATTTGCCGGACAAATTGTGTTTGCTCGGAGTTGTAGGATGTTTTTTCGTCAAACGTTCACCAGTGCCCATCAACATCAACAATCATCGCCAGTTTTTGAATGGATGAAAGTTAGGGACCATCAAGCTACCTCTACAGGTTTTTTGAATGTTTGTCCTCGGTTTCAATCTATTCAAAACTACTATAGCTTGGCTAAGGGCATATGTCCGGGTAACAGGATATGATCTAAAAGGTTAATGAACCTCTTCTCCCAACACTATACGTAGTCTATATGGCTCAAGCGGCAGCAGCAAGACTCCAAACAGGTGCTCTTAAGTTCACCATACGTTCTAACGTGTCGCGACTAAGATCATCACATGTCTCGCAACAAACCCCAACGATTGCTTCCACTTTCTCTCACCCAAAGCAGGTTGGTGCCCATCACTACTATAGGTTGGAGGCCATCGCTACTACCTTAGTCCCAGGACCCCCTGGTACCACGACCGTTCCGACTTGGCCTGAGGCCAAGTTTACGGTGTTGGTAAAGCGATCCTGGCGCAGCGGTGTCGCTGACCGTGAGAGAAACAAAAACCGATGAACAGAAGCAGCGATGAAAAGCGGTGAGATTTCACGGATCAGGGATGGATTTCAAGAATTTGGCATTTCTGAGTGGATCAAAGACATGGTTCAAAGAATTGACATGAGAACAAGTCTCGCTCTTAGGTGTAGGACATATGACCTCGGAACTGGCAATATTAGGAAACCCAACACAACCAAACCCCATAAACTGTTGAGCAACAGCTATCCACGAAGTTGCCTACTCCACGTTCCCTAGAAATGGAAAGTTACATAGTGTTTTCAACATTCAACATTTCACAGTAGGGAAACCCACGCCTACTAGAACAACTTGTGATGTGGGCAGTTTGTCAGCAAACAACAGAGTTTCCTGCAACACGCGATTCACACAAGTGTTTCCGTGTGGGCAAATGTGAAACACATTCTCTTCATGGGTCACATTCGATGACTCCCCAGCAATCGCGCATCACCAAGCAAAGGCCAACTGGGTGTCCCTGACTGGCATGGACATGAGGCGTTTAGCTCCAAGGTCTTTATCCTGGCAGCGGAGGCGCAGGTCGGTTGGCGGTTGGTGTATGATGGATTGCGTATGACCGTCATTGGATCATCGACCCCAAGAAACAAACATGGAACGTGCAACTCGCATTTATGCAATGGACAAAAACCCACTAATAAATGACATGACAGCCTGGCAAACCGATGTACCCAAGAAGCAAAGAACGTCCTGAATGTCAGATCCAAATCTAACGAGACCACGACGAAAAACCCACCTCACAGTTCACGACGCGAACGATGCCGCGATGGAACCGGTCTCCGAACGATGCCGCGACCTTGAGGACCCCGGAGATGATCTTGCGCTGCTGCAGGTCGCTGCGCCAAATCCTCGGTGGTTTTCTTGTCCAATTCAAGATGCCGTGTCCGGGTCCCCGTTAAGGAGGAAAGACACACGAATATATAGAGGGATTTAGTGGTGATGGTGGCCAGCTTGGTCCCTCGTTGGGTCACTGGCACCAATGTCTACACGGTATCATGTTTGATGTGAGCCAGCAGTCTGAAAGCCTTACGGATCTACCCCGTCAAAGGGTTTTACCTCCTGAAGAGCTTCGGGATTTTGACCTCAACACCAGAAAACCTCCTTCAACCTGCCAAATCTCCAAGCAAGAAGATGGTTTGTTCGGTCAGCCTCTGGGCTGAAACCTGACTCAAACCCCTATCCGGCTCAGCCCATTTCCACTTCATGTTCAACCTCCAAGGCTGGGCTTTCCAGGCTCTTCCACCTTCTCAAGTCCCTGCCACTCCAAAGCCTCTCGTCCGCTCCGCATCGCTCCGCTCCCGGAGGACAGAGCGAGGCGAGGGAGCGGTCCGAAGCAGCGAAGGGACTGGTCCGAAGAACTTGGATTGAACGAAGTTTGTTGGATACATGATGAAGGGAATCTATAAAGCCTTTGAAACTTTGGGGCGCTTTGGGTGCAATTCGGCATGGATTGGAAGAGGGGTCTCCTCTTAAGCAGGACATGGGTAGGTCTGGTGAACAGGGCCAACTTGAGCGAAGACAGAACCCTATTTGGAAACAAGAGGTGTGGCTTCCTGCTGATCATTTTACAAGAGGCGTGGCGCCACATGTTGCCGAATTTCCAGGTCACAGTGGGCGATGATTCAACATAGATCTGGCTGGAGCCACCAGTAGACTGACATAGATTGGCTGATAGTCGACCATCCATGTCGACCATCGAATGACTCCGACCAATCCGTGACTCCAGGACGGCGATCGGCCGTCCTTCATCTGCTCCTGGAGCTCCTTAAAGAGATCTTCAGTGAAGACGGAGGCCACGGGCACCTTGCTAGAGAAGATCAAAGGAGATACAGTAGATGAGTTGTGATGAGTTGGTGGACCGGGGTAGAGGGACTTGATGAAGGGATGGTGTACCGGAGTGCAAATTGGGCCAACTCCATCTTGTTTAAACAAGGACACGCTTGGTTTATATGTTTTTTGGACTTCCACGAGTTCTACGGAACTTCCGTGGCTTGAAGCCTCGTTTCTGCAGCTGCAGCTTCAAGTTGTAATAATACAGTTCAAAAAGACGTGTCTGTGGCTTCCCTTGTAGCTTTTCAACTTGTATCAATGCCATTGTGAGGTTGAAGTCTGAATTCTCCAAGGCACATCTTTCTCCTTGGGATCATCGATAAAGGCCTCAACCTGCACCAGCCGCGCCATTGGGCCGAGACGAGCCATTTGAAGGATTGGTAGATCTGATAACACCTCCATGGGGTTGACAATTTCTGTGGGCTAAGTACTGCAAATGACCCTCAACAGCCTCAAAGAAGAACAAAGAGAAGAAGGAAGAAGGAAGAAGCAAAATAACAAACGAAAACAACAAAGAACAAATAAAACTGTTCCGTGATTTCTCGCAACATGTGGCATGTCTTTTTTTATTTTTTTACCAAGCTTTCTGCAAGAAACCATGTTGCTGTTGAAAAAGTCTGTGCACCACTTGGGATGAAACATACCCATTTGATAGTGCTTCGGAGGTTACCACTTGTTCTTGGCGTTTAGCAGCCCAAGGTCAAACCATATTGAAGTCAATGGCCTGATTCCCGTCTCTGGTGCAGTTTGTTGATAGCAAGAAAGGCGCACACCACTAAAATTGCTTCCAAGAGAATGAAGAACCAGGTTTGTCTACAAAAAAGGTGCCTTACTAGTAGTAACAAGAAGCTATTAGAAACAAGTGCCTTACTAGTAGTAACAGGTGCCTTACTACTAGCAACAAGAAGCTACAAAAAAAATGATCCCAAACCCAGGTCGCATCACTCCGATCTTGCTCGGCATGCAGTCTGCACCGCCCCAAGCATGCCACCTGGTCCATGAGCTTTGCATAGGCTTCATCGGAGTGGCTAATCCAAAACCTTGGAGTGAATTCTCGGTGGGTAGGGACTTGGGAGAATCCTCAGTCTCCACAATGCAAAGTCATGGAGTCACAGAAAGTAAAGGTGCGTTCATTGACATTGAAAAACAAATGCTTAACTACCGCGCCCGTATTGCCATGTATTAATTACCCGTCTATGCGTATGTGCTTGCTGATGGCCATGTGTCCTCTAAAAAGGAACACTATGCCAAACTTAACCTGCCTAAATCCTGGCTATTGCCAAAGGTTTGGGCTTGGGGGGGTGGTTGACCTTGATCTCTGAATGAACCTGTGCGAGAATCGACAGGACTGTCCAAACCTTCTCTTGAAAACATCCGCACACCTCTTGACCTCAAACGAACCTACACCAGTCCGCTTCTGCTGTGAAGATTCGGACACCCTCCACGAAACAAACGCTTTCCGAAGGCCCCACAGATTCCTCGACACGACACCTGCCCGATCACGCGGGTGCTAGCCAGGACCCCGACTCAAACGGATTGTTGTTGATGGCCGCCAAATTCCAAGTCACCAGGGACAATCCACCTGAAGGGAATCCACCGTTGCATGGGCCAAAGGGTCTTCCGTACATGGCCTTCATTTTGTTTGCACAAGAAGCTCAGCTGTATGGGGCAATCAATCGGTGCGGTGTCCGAGATGTTCGAGTCTTTTGGTTCTCAGAGTGAGCCTCATGTTACATGTTGCTTTGTCTTCCAACCCTCTCTCTCTGATAATATATATGATTTTTTCAGCCGATATCTTAGGCCCTTGCCGGTCAACCCCCTTGCCGGTCAATTGATACCAAAATCCCATCTGGACTCTGGGAAAGACTGGAACGAAGGTGCAAACATTCATTTGGACCTAAAGTGGCTTTGTCAAACGGATCGGTGACAGAATACCTCTGGATTGTAAGGCTTTTTGAGAGCTTTCGTTGCAACACTTCCTCGATGGGATGACAGGCCTCTCATACTGTTGACCCTGGTGACAGCAACATCCATGAACATCAGTGAGTTAGCTATCATCATAATTATCAGTTAATATAGAGAGACTCATAATGCTTCCTTTGATTGATCCATCACTTTGACAGTTCCTCTCAGGAAACAAAAAAACATCCCAGTAGCCGTCGCGCTGCCTACGGGCGCTTGCAGGTCCACCGGGACAATGCGGCGCCTAGATAGGAATCGGCCGTCCACCGGGACAAATGGCCGGGACGGGTGGCCGGGTGGCCTCTGGTCCACTAAGGCGCCAAATCATCTGGCTCCATGCAAGGCATCTTAATAACATTGAAAAGCAACAAAGTGACAAACATCTGGAGTTGTATGTTGGTGGGGAAAGAAAGTCAAGTGGATGTTTATCTGGAAATGCTGGCCAAGGGGGGCTAGCGGGCATCAAGAGACATAATGGTAAGTCAAAAAAGGTATAGAACGCATGAAACACCATCTGGAGGTTTGAATCTCATCGTGAAGTTCTGAGCTGCAGAAGCGAGAACAATTTGGACTCCTGCAGCTGTTGCCAAGAGAGTGTTGTCCATCATGGGTGGCCAGAATGATGATTCACATTAAAACTTGAGAGCTGTGCAAATGTTCTTCCAGCCACCCAAGACCCAAACATGTGGCCCAACATGCATGGGTAACAAACGCACAATATGACAAAGGAACAATTTCATGACAATATGCAACACCCAATTATCAACACACCCTTCCATACCACCTCTGGAATCATGTGAAAACATCAAAGTATTTGCAAAGACCTGGACCTGAAAAAACATTCCCTTCACTCTCCAACGGGCCATACCGAAGGTCTATACTGTTTGACTCTCGAACCATATCAGCATCTGGACTGTCAGTACCACAACTCACCCGGCTGCAAATTCTGGGATGTTCTTTTGTTCCATTCGGATGGTCAGCAAGTCCAATGTGTGCGAACCCAACAACGGTGAAACAGCCACAGGATTCCCCCGATGTTGGTGACTTACGTATTCGTGAAACTGAATTGACTTACTCTTCAATGGTGTAAGCGAATAATATATATATATGTATACATATAACATGTGTATATATGTATATATATATATATACATGTATAAAATAACTTTAATATACTATATCCCTCCCAACCAACATGGAAGTGGATGGCACACTGTTTGGCTATCATGATTTCATGGCCGGTTCCATCCCGCAAAACGCACCTGAGCCGGATGAGGATCTGCGGGGCAGCGCCGTAGCTGTCCACCTCTTTGTAGTGGGTTGAGACCTCAAAGCGCACCGGCAGGACGGGTCATGCAGCTGCAAAAGCTTCACCAAAAAAAGGGGGCCTACACTTGGAAGAGCCAAGCCCCAGGGTATTTATGCAATTTCTTGCTGTAGTTTAAGGTAGTGCACCAATCATCCACTGTAATGGTTGCGTCGAGGATCAGTTTGTGTGTGTGTGGGACTCATGTACAGGTCAAAGCTCATGCCTTCAAGGCTTCAGTTTCCACTATCCACATCACAATGTTTTGAGGTTTCACAACTTCTGTCCCCACCAAGAGCGCAAACGGTGATTTTTTTTGTACAGCGCAAACGGTGATTTGTTTGAAAGGTTTGGATCATAGCAGCCTACTATAGCTCTTCTATCGTTGAAGGGTGAGTCTTTAGAGAATCACTCTGAGTCTCACGAGAATCCCACTCCTCAGTTTCAAAGACCTTCATCCAAAGTAGTTGGGACTCATGTTCTTTGGAGAGGAAGAGCCTGATGCAAACCTTAAACTAACCCTTTTGTGCGAGGACAAGAGGCTCCCAAAGTAACTTACCCAAGGATGCACCCTGATGGAAATTAACAAATTCCATAAGAGTGTGCTGAAATCTGGAGACCTGGGAATGGGCAAGCATTGACGAACAACCAGGTTTGGCGGGTCTCATAATTCAAGCACATGAATGAAAGCATCATGGAAGGGTTTGCGGAACCTGGTCATCGAACGGGGCCATGTTCATCCATGTTGCATGGATTGGATGCTTCAGGGAGTTTACAAACCTAGTATCAATGTCCCTTTCAGAAAAATGGTTCTGACCCATTACCCTCCACCTATATAATAAATCCACACCACACAGATTGGTGCTCTTTTTGATTGAGCCACTCGGTGGATCATTCTTGGCGCTTCACAACGCAAATGCTTGAACATCGCAATGGTAAAGGTACCTCATCTACACATCTGCTGCACTTCCTTCACACATATCAGTGGACATGGTACACAGGGAACGGAATGTTGCTCTTTTTTGATGCGTATTACCATACGTTTTTTTCATGGCTCCAGCGACCTCAAACTGATGATCGTTTTGTCTGTTCAGTTGTTATCTGTTGCACAGCCACATTAACAAGACCCCAAACCAGTATCGCAATGGTCAAGGGAAACTCCGGCAACTAACATCCAGCAGATCTTACTCGTACCCTCAAAGGGTGCTACTCTTGTAGAGCCAAATCCACATGATGTGTCTCCTTTGCTGGCCCTAGCAGCCTGCTATGCTGTGTTTTTTTGGCCGCACCGTGTGTGCTGTTCCTTTTCCGCGGAATCGCGCGGATGGTGCGATGAGGTACGGCCTCTGCCTGTGGAGGATCATGGTACCGGATAGTGCCTTTTAAAGTCAATGGTCAGACTGGTCACTCATACGTCAGTGGTACTCCCACTCACAATTGTGCAGTGCTCATGTGTAATGTGAGCAGCATTGTAAGTCACGATAATCATGATATTGATAATATATCTATATAATTCTATATAATGATATAGCTCCGATTATGAGCCGAATGTGGATATTCAGGAGTTCAGATTCAGTTGATGAGACATCGTCGCCGCCGCCCCTCTGGCCTTCCGACGGACACCTCGCGTCCTGGCCCTATGGCTCAAACGATTGAATCATTGGGTGCACTATGTTACACTCCAACCGATGGGTAAACACAATGAAGATGAGGGACTTGCTTCTTAAGCAACTCCATTGTGTGTACACATGGTTACACCTTATGTTCCTGGGTACTAGTCTGATTTTTCCTCGGTGGTGGACTGAATCTTTCACTTGACACTTTCCAGTACTACCACTCCTCGAAGATTTGCCGAAAATGTCGGCGTCTAAGCTTGGACTTGCTCGCAAGGCACACTACAAAGTTCATCATGTCCCATTAGCGGTGGCACTGATTGCTTTGGTTGATAGCAGGTTACTTTGGTGGGTCCTATCGCCAATCAATGCTCCATGAGGAGGTAGAAGGCCCCAGGCACAGGGGCCATTAGTCCTTCTTTGAAGCTAGCTCACTTTGAGAATCAATTGGCAGCATGAACATGGAGTCTGGCATCCGAATACTTCTAGCCTGAGATCTACAGGACAGTGAGAACAATGTGAAGCTGTGCCCCTGAGGATCCCCAAAGCTTTAATGCGGATTATATTGAAAGCCGATTCTTGCGAATGCGATCTCTTGCAGTATTTCCATCCGCACATTTGTCCTATGTAAGTGAAACGTCCTGTTCACCCAGGTGCCTGTCCTTCCAAGCCCAAGCACTGTCCAGCTCAGCCCTGAGCCATCCTCAAGCTGAAGCTCCAGCTGAGATGGGAGTGAACTTCATAGCGATACCCTTGAAAAGCCGTTACCCCATAAGGATTTTTTTTAAGCAAAAGCCTTGTAACTGCGACAGAGCATCGATTTTTCATGAGTCGTCCAAAAGCTGTTCCCACGATTTCCCAAGTTGTGGAGAGAGGATTGAAAAGTAGAAAACCATTCCGGCATAGCCGCCATAGCAGCTCTCATTAGCGGGGGAACAGTCTTCGAGAGGTAAGTGAAAGTTCCACAAGCTGGAGATTGATCATCTTCAATTCCTGCGCTTTCTGCAAGGTGTTTTTGTTTTATGTTCCGCTACAAAGGACCAGTGAACACACAAATTACCAAACATGTAGAGCTCCCTGGACAACGACCCCTACTTCTGCTCCCTTCACTCACTGTCCCAGCAAAGCATGCGGCGCCCCGGCGCACCCGGGGCGAAAAAGAACGCGAACGCGCGCGCCGCGCGTGGTCGGACTTAGCTCTATTGGCCGCCCGAAAAAAAGAGCGCTGGGTATCTTTGGGATCCTTCAGATCAACATTTATATGGAGATTGAATGGCCTGCACTGTTCCTGGATGGATTCTTCCGGATATATATATATATACGGTGGCCATGGCAGCGTTGTTGCCATTCGGAAAGGACATCGTACATAGGCACTAGGTCAATATTTTGTGGTACCCTCCCTGAAACAATCATGGAAGTGGATGGCATGGCCCCGGGACAAACCATGAAATCCTCATATCAAACAGGGGGGTGCCATCCACATCCATGTTTGTTGGAGGGGTGTATTTACACCGGCAAAGAGTAAGTCAACAAGTCAGTTTGTTTTCACAAACTCACACGTTAAGTCACCAACATCTTAGGCGCAATGTAGGAGTCGGGAAAGCCAGGGCCACTTTCATGAAGATCAGGATCTTTTCCAATTTGAAGAAACAAAGCACCTCTGTGCAACATGGAACCTGATGAATCCCTGAGCCTCAAAGACTTGACCTTGTTCCACGGTTCCTGTTAAAATCAATGGATCTGTCACAGCACCACCTGAGCAAATAAATAACACGTGTATTTTATGTTACTTCATGTTGGAACACCTGCGACATCATGATATCGAACGATGTCAAAACAAAGTTTGGGCACACAAACTGAAGGTGTGGTGCTGCTAAACTGGACTGTAAACGTCTTTCTTCCTTCTTGAGAGTTAACCCTGCTGAAGAACTGAGTCTCACGAGTTACCACAGCTACGTCCGGAAACCACGCTCATGCGGCAGCTTCCTCCTCGGCCTCAGGAGCAAGTGATCCACGAAGGTTGAAACATCTTGAAATACCCAGGCGAAGCAAGTGGCTGTTCTATGGGGCTCTGCAGCAAAAGCCAGTGCCAGCGCAGCAGGCACCAACCAGGAATCGATGGATAAACTGTACAGGTTGTATGGCTAAATCCCCATAGTCCACAGTCCATCCCCTGACTCACGCAAGCAGGCGGGCATGAGGCCCAGAAGCGCAACCAGGATGCGATGGACCCTCTAAGCTGGACACCCCGCCCCACCGACCACCACGGTCACTTCGGCCCAGGCGCCGTGTTCTCCACACGCGGCGCCGGTGGCTGCTGGTTCCGCGCGCGGGCCGCGTCTGCGTAGGCGGGCCAATCGCTGTAGTAGATGATCACGAGGAGCACGAAGCACTCGAACAAGGTCACGGCGGCTTGCCTGAAGTCTGAGGCCATTAAGGAATTACAGTAAGTTGGAAGCCATTGCTATTAGGTTGGAGGCCATCGTGGCAAGACATCGCTGTGTACAAAAAACGACTTCTGGGACGCATCCTCGATATGGGTGTGTTGCAGTTCTGAAGTTGTCAATGTGACTCCATGTTCAGAGTCAACCTTACATAATGAACACACGTCGTTTCATGGAATAGAATATACTCTCTTAGTGGCTGAGATCTTACGATGGTGTTATAACTGAAGACGTGAGTGATCTGCTCTGAAATCAGTATTTACTTTAAGCTGTGGGAGGTCATTGACACCAAGAACAGCAGCTCCATGCAAAGCTCTAAATGGTCTGTCAAGCCAAACTTACTTCAATAGGAAAGGGAATAGCCTTCACACATACTTGACACATACGCCAGAACGATCGCAGCCCTTATGGCACCCTGGTGTTTCAGGTCGTTTCTTTCCGCTCTCTGGCCTTCAGGGACAAACATGGGCCGATCACGGCGGCCGATCTTCGCTTTGGATGGTCGACAGGGATCCGTTAGGAACCACCGCTTTGGCTTGAAACCGCCGGTCACTGAGTGGCTGAATGTGTCTTAACCTGGCCCTTCTTAAAAAACAAACAAAAACCTGCTTTGTGACTCTTGGTGCAAATGTGCAGCCTGAGTGGAAGAAACTTGGCTGGTTTGCACCCATGCCCCCACAGTCTGCCACTTTCCTATGCTTCTCAGATACGTCCAATAGACGAGGTGGACATCAGCGTGGAAGACCAAGACCAGGATCACGATGGGCCCCAGCAAAAAAGGAAGCTCAAAGAACATCACCTTAAGTCGATGCAACAAAAACTCTGACACCTCCGCCTGGCCTGGCCAAAGGTCTCGGTTCTATCTCTCTGCTGCTATCCGCAACAAAGCAAGCCAAGCAAGCCTGGACGATCCGAGAGTCTGAGCCAAAGCCACCCAACTGTCCATCGAACCCATGATTGGGGT